TCCCCGGTTAGAGCCACTCCAAATTGAGCAGAATCCTTGACAGGAAGTGTGTGGGGGGAATTAAAGAAAAAGACATTGCAGAGTCACTTGAAAATCACCAGATGCAAACAACTGCCTCTATTATGGTACCTGGGGATGAGAGGAGCCGGCCAGGGTGGAGAAGAAAACGGTGGGTGGCATTTGTGTCTTTCATACTGGAACAAGCAAGAAGTCCGCCTCTGTACCACCACAGGGTCTGGAATCAACGAGGCAGTCCTAACATTGAAATGCCACGGTTTTTGAATGCCATTGAACATTGAAATGCCACGCTATGCCATACACTAGAGGGCAGCACAAAGCTGTAGATATTTCAGCGTGGCACTACACGCTACCTGTTGTTTCCTGGCTATTTTAAACGCACTCCCTCCCTATCCAAATGCAGCAGCTGGGGCTGAATTTCTAAGGGGGAGAACTGTGGGATGGGGCAACAGGGGGCCGTATTCGGGGGTGTGGTATTTTTCTGTGGGAAAATGACAGGGAGGAACGGTTAAAACACCCCCCCGCCCTTCTCTTCCTCCTATGTCCAAAAAATAGCGCTAGTATCTGCATTTGGAAGACTGGATGCAGGAGGAGGCTTGTGGCATGATCAGGGAACCAAACATAACGTATAACTCACCTTGTTGCCACCACAAGAAAATCCGTTCATCTAGATGCCACAAACTCCCTGGTTGCTTTTGCTACAACTGACTGCCAGGGAGACTTCCTCTGGAAACTGTATTTTGGGATCCTGCTGGGGCTGGGCAGAGGCCTGCTAGGAAGAGTAAGGAGCAGGCCCGCAGGGGATGGCGCAGAGGTGCCTCAATATCCCCTCTCTGTGCTTGCTCTGTCCTCCTGCCCCTTTAAATCCCGATTGAAGGCATGCCTTTAAAATGGAATGGGCAGCTCAGTTCTTTTCCCACCCCCCTCAGGCCAAAATAGTCAGGGCCCCTGGTTCAATTAGCTCGCAAGGGCTAAGGCTTTGCTAGGCCTGATGTGAGTTTGTTTTGTTGGTCACTCTGGAAGGAGCTGCTGTTTGTGGTGCCTCTTGAGGAGGTTGTGGGGAATGTAAACTGAGTTCTAGGCTCCCATGCTGTGTTACAGGAATCTATGGGCCTGTAGTGTGAGGACAGAAGTGGGGCTCTGGCTTCCCTGAGGGAGGACAGGGTGATTTGCCTGGTCCTCTGGGGCCCTGTGAGCCCTTGGCCCATAACCAGCGCGTTGTCATGGCTAGCCTTGGTACCTTGTGTCTTTGTGGAGCTTTATTCCTCTTGGCAATGGTGTTTCCTCTAGAGCATGGCTTGGGGGTGGGTCAGGTGGGACCAGCTTCTGTGGGGGCTCTGTCTGGAGCCCCTTCCCTACCCCTCATTCAGGTGCTTCTGGGCAAGGCCCCACCCAAGACCAGGCCGCAGGGGCGAAATAGGCGTATAGCCAGAGGACAGCCACTGCGCTACATGCTGAACTTGTATCGGAGTGTCGCCGACAGGCACGGTCGCCCGCGCAGGAACCGGAAGCTGGCCACCAATACCATCCGTCTGGTCAAGCCCTTTGCCAAGGCCCGCCAGCCTGGAGCAGGTGAGTTGGGGGGAGCTGAGGGCTGTGGGAGAGGGGGGGGGGAGAGGAAGGAGCTTGTTCTCTAAAGTGGGGGCTCCAGGTTCTGTGGCTGAATTGTAAAAATTGTTCTGTTGCTTTGGGAACTCAGGGGTTTGGCCAAGTCTGTGAAGTCAACCAGCAAGCAATGTGGAACTGGCCTTTTAAGAGCAGAGAAGAGGAGGAGGAGGAAGAGAAGATTGGATTTTTATCCTGCCCTTCACTCAGAGTCTCAGAGCGGCTTACAAGCTCCTTTCCCCTCCCCTCCCCACAACAGACGCCCTGTGAGGTAGGTGGGGCTGAGAGAGCTCTTTCCAGAACTGTCTTTGAGAGAACAGCTCTGAGAGAACTATGGCTTGCCCAAGGTCATCCAGCAGGTGCAAGTGGAGGAGTGGGGAATCAAACCTGGTTCTCCCAGATTAGAGTCCACGCACTTAACCACTACACCAAACTGGCTCTTATTATACCAAACTGGCTCTTATTAATGTATAAGGGTGCCTTATTAATTTTGGTGCTTATACAGTGATTTTCTCCATAGTGGAGACCCAAAGCAGCTCATGCCATCACCTCTCTCTCCTCCCTCTCCACCTTTTCCCTGGTGTAGTTTGGCCTGGCCAGAGAGATTGGATTTTTATCCCACCCTTCACTCAGAGTCTCAGAGTGGCTTACAAACTCCTTTCCCCTCCCCTCCCCACAACAGACGCCCTGTGAGGTAGGTGGGGCTGAGAGAGCTCCTTTTGCCACTTGGCACTGGAAAGCTGGCAGCTCTCTTTGAAGGTTGCTATCTCTGTCCTCTGTGGAAGGGTCCTGGGTAAGTGCTGGTAAGTATGGTCATGTCTGTGAACTGGTTTTCTCCTTCCAGCTGGACACTCACAAGGTTCTTTCTCTGTTGCCTCCGTCTACCTTTACTGAAAAGTGTACAACTGTGGTTATTCAGCGCTACCTCAAGAGCAAAATTAGCAGGTGGCACCTGCTATCTCATGATATGCAGCTTTCTGTGATAGGACCTCTGAGGAGAGAAGAGCCAGGTACAGGGGGAGACACCTGCATGTTGCCTAGAGTTTTGGGCTAGGCTTGGGGAGACCTAGATTCAGATCTTCTCTTGCCATGAAATTCCTTTGGTAACCTTACACCAGTCATTCTTTCCAGCCTAATTTACCTCACAGGATTGTTGTAAGGGTGAAATGGAGGAGGGAATCACATATACCACATATACTAAATAATAAGTCCTACCTTCTGCTGCCATTCCAAAGCATGACTTTGAAGTGTAGCATTTCTAGGAAGTAAGGGGTTGGGAATATAATGTACTGGGTTGCTAGAAACTTTGCACTATTAGCTCCTATTGAAATGGAGGAGGGAATCACATATACCAGCTTTGGAGGCCAAGATAAAAATGTACTAAACAATAAGTCCTACCTTCTGCTGCAGTTCCAAAGCATGACTTTGAAGTGTAGCATTTCTAGGAAGTAAGGGGTTGGGAATATAATGTACTGGGTTGCTAGAAACTTTGCACTATTAGCTCCTATCCATTAGAAGAAAAGTTCCAGAAGATGGGTGGAGCTTTGCAAGCTGTGTAACTGAATGTCTTTAGGATGATATAATAATGATTGGACGGGGTGGCTTTTCCTGTATTCTCTTGTGCCCAACAGGTTGCCTTAACCTGGAGAATGGGAAATGCCAGCTTGCTGCTCTATAGCACCTTCTTTTGTTTTTGGTTCATGTTGGAGAGTCTCTTTCCTGCATAGATTAGTGGCTTACTTCCCAATATGTCAAACAGTACCTATTCCAGATGAAGTGCTGTGTGTCTTGCGCAGTCTTGTACTTCATCGCATTGTTTACTAAATGATTGGTATTGCTGTTAAATGATAAACTGGTCCTGCAGAGGCAGGGTGAGAGGAAGGTCCAGGCTGCAGATGGGGGGTAGTGAAGGTGCCTTCCAAAGCTGGCCTGCTTTCTGGCATATTGCCTGTCTGGCTGCCCTGCTTGTATGGGCTTGCACATGAAATTGGGACCCTTAGCCAGAGCCCTGTATCTGCAGAACCTTCTCTTGTTACTTGTTCAGAGCATTGTACTCTGGGGGGCAGCTGGTAGTTGCAATATGCTCTTTAGATATCCATCCCCATTAAGGTGGGTGGCAAAAGCTCTCTTGGAAAGAACAAGAGGGGTCTGGAGCAATGCTGCCTCTAAGGCGTCTTGTGAGCAAAAATTGTGAGCTTCTGGCATTAAAGTTGTGAGCAAGCGATTTGGCTACAGCATAAATTAGTTTGCTCTGCAGCCATCCTTCCTGAGATAAGACAAAAATGTGTGAGCCGGAGGCTAAAAAACTGTGAGCTAGCTCACACTAGCTCATTAGCTCACTAGCTCACACTAGCTCATTAGGTCATTAGCTCACACTAACACTGGTCTGGAGCCCTCTATAGATGTAGTCTTTTGCATTCAGCTGAGAGTAAATCTCCCTGAACTCAGTGGTGACACTGTTTTTCTGAGTAAATATGCATATGCTTGAGCAGTAAGAACAGAAGCTGACACCTAGAGCTCGGTGCTGATGTTGTTCTGTTGGTGATCAATATCAGGGTGCTAAAAGGACTGGTGCTAAATTGTAACTGGGAGCATTCATAAAACCATATGGACAGATCAGGTTTTAGGAGTGGGAATAAACACATGCTTGCTTGACCATGCTTTAAAAATGGTTTGGGTGATTTGCCCTGAGAAGTGGTCTATGAGTCCTTCACCCCTGGGCTAGTGGCCGCCATGGATTCAAATGTCCCAGGCTCCTGGGAGACATCTGCTGTGTTCCAACTACAGACTAATTCCATTCTTGTATCCAGGGAGAAAGACTCTGGCCTGTGCTTGTTTGTTTTTCTCTCTCTGGCTGACAAATATGCATGTGGCTTTGACCCGCTCATTTGATCTTGCAGGTCCCTGGTTGGTCTGGAATCTTGACTACCGCCTGGAAATCCAGCCACAAGTGGAGCACCTGGTGAGGGCCACTCTAGTCTATTCTCAGACTTTGTCCCTGGCTCAAGGCGAGTTCTTGTGCACAGCTGAGCTGCTGTCTAGCAAAGACGCCATCCCTAGGACCACCCTTAGCCTCACTTCACCACGGGTTGGCAAGAGAAACGCTACTGCCTTTTCGACCAAAGACAGCTGGGTGGAGATGGACCTTTCCACATACCTTCAGCCGTGGGTCTGGGCTGCCCAGAACAGTCAGGTCCTCCATGTGAGGCATGCATGTGCCTACGTTGGGCAGCCTTGGGGCTCCATCCCTGATCCTGGATGGGAGGATGCAGTGTCCCTGAATGACCCCTTCTTGTTGCTTTACCTCAATGACACTTTGGGTGGACTCTGGACCAGGCTGGGGGGCTTGGGCTCAGGTGAGGCGCCTTTTGAAGAGAAGCGTCTTAGGCGACCTGTTCAGACACGCCAGGCTCGCCAAGCAGGCAATCTTGCCCTGGACCTCCCCAGCTACCTTCGCACAAACAGCATCAAGAAGAGAGAATGTTCCCTCCATCCCTTCCGTGTCAGCTTCCAGCAGCTGGGCTGGGACCACTGGATCATTGCTCCGCATTCGTACCAGCCCCAATACTGCAAGGGTAATTGTCCCCGCATCCTGCACTTTGGCTACCACTCCCCAAACCACGCCATTATTCAGAACTTCATCAACGAGCTGGTAGACAAGAGTGTCCCGCCTCCCTCCTGTGTCCCCTATGAGTATAGCCCAATCAGCATCCTCATGATGGAACAGAATGGAACCATCCTTTACAAAGTGTATGAGGACATGATTGCAAAATCCTGCACTTGTCGGTAAATCTCTCTGGGGGAAGCAGATTCCGTAGGTGATGCTGGTCCCCATTTTGAGGCATACCTGGAACCTAGAGGTTCTCTCCCTCCAATCTTTGTGCAAGGATGACTTTACATGATTTGTAACTGGGTTTCAGTGCATGCCTTTAAAATATCTATTTATTATCTCTTGCATTTTCTGACAGCTGCACCAAGAGAAGGTTTCAGGTTTTAATAAATGTAATTACTTTTTTCATCTGGGTCCCAACGCCCTCCTTTCCCAGTGATGCAATGAGCATGCAATGTCACTGGGCTGTTTTACAGATGGATTTTTATACACATGCTGGCAAAGTGTTGTCTTTTTTCCCTTCTTTTTAAAGAAAGAGCCTGTTTGTGGACTACATAGGTTCCTTAATCCTGCCAGCAGCCTGAAGGAAGCATGGCCAGCTTTGCCATGGAGATGGGTGTGGGGGGGAGTGCTGAGGATCTGTGGCTCTCTGCCTTGTCTCTGGACATTTGTTTGCTGCTCTTTGAACAGCCTAAAAGCAAACGTCTTTATCTTTTGAGTGCATTGAATGACTTGTGCCTTCTTCCTGGAAAGCTGCAAATTTCTCTCCTTTGGAACTAGGGGCAGGAAATCACTGCTTGCTTGTGGGTCTAGATGTTGGGATTCATGCTACCTCTTTTGCCCCAGGGGTTCATAGGAAGCAGCTGGCCTGTTCTGAAGCAGGGGAAAACCCACTACTTTTGCAAACACTGTCTGGAGCCTGTTGGGTGGGTGAGGAATGAACTGTCCTTGGGGGATTCCCGCAGGCTGTCCCACTATCTTGTTCTCTCCTATGATGCCGGTGAGGGCTGGTGTGTCTTTAGGCTAATTCTTGTTGTCACTGCTGTATCACTGCTGCATGCTCCCCCCCCCTTCCTTTTTTTCCTCTTGGATTTGCTGCCAATCACTGCCTGTATTCTCACTGCACAAAGAAAGCCACACAAATGTCCTCTGCAATGCTGGGAAATATAGTCAGGGGAATGCTGAAGGCTTTTTTAAAAAAAATGTATCTCTGGGGAGAAGAGGGAAAAGGTTGTTGAGCAAATCCTTTCTCTCTGGTACTGGAAGGTTTTAAGTCTCTTCCTAGGGAATGAAGAATAGAATGTCTGAATATTTTAAGCTGAAATTGGTATGGCCTGGGGCATGGGTGCCAAGTGGTCTGTGGGCTGGGAAGAGGTCTCTTAAGTACCCGGCTAGCTCCACCCAAGAGGAATAGCCACTTCAGCTGTCCTGGGTAAATGCAAATGGCAGCTCCTGTTTGGAATTGATTGTACCCCCATATTTTAAAGCACCCTGCTGACATCTGTATGTCTCTTGGCACAGTGCTGGGGGGGTCTGGGCTTCTCTCTAACACAGCCCTTGAAACACTTGGAAGCTTTGATGGGAGACTCTGTTTTTTTTTCCTTGTAGGCTGCCTGGGACATCTTGTTTGGCCTTGAGCCCTTTAACCTTCCTCTGCCTTCTGAAGCACACTGTAGCCTGCCCTGATCTGAATCAATTGCCAATAAGCTGGGGGTACCTTTCTCTTTACCACCTGGTATATTTAAAATGAGATTATGTAAATAAATTTGGTTTCTTTTGCTAAAGAGGATTGTAGTGCATTCTTATTCTTCAGCCCCTGATCTCAGGAAATGAACCCTAGCGGGGAATGGAGGGGAAGAAGGTAAGAGAGCCAGGGTTCAGCCCTGCAAGCTTTATGAAACAGGTGAATAAATCTAACTAGCAAGACACTGGCTGCTGGTGTATCACTCTTGGCTGAAAGGGGGGAGTGGGGGTGGACTGCATGGCTGCTTTCCACACACACTGGGTGGAATTGTGGGATATGTCCAAGGACCAGGCAGAAAGAAGAGGTGGAAATATGCATGGACTATTGTGTAGGAGTGTGTGTATGTACATGCAGAAACCAGGCAGGTAGGCTTAGTGGAGCATCTAGGCTGGGACTGTGAAGGCACAGGAAGGGTACTTCCATACACAAGGTTGCAAGCGGTTATGCTTGTAGTGAGATCTTAAAATACATTGGCCAGAATGCTCACTTGCATTGCAAATGGCTCTTCAAACTTTCTTGGTCCAAACCATCTTCTGTCTGAAACTTAAAAGCCAACATGTTTGGACTGTACCCCAAATGCTCTAAAAAGGAAGGGTTCCAATCCTGGGACTGGAGGGAGGAGGACTGATTGCAGCATGTCAGCAAAGTGCTCACAGGTATGTGGCTTGGCTGGCTGCAGGGCTCTCTTCCTAGAACAGGTCCAGCATGGTCAGTGCCCTGGGCAAAGTTTCCCAGGCCAGGCTGGAATGTCAACAGGCCTCAGCCCTGACCTAGGCAGACCTCCAGCTGGGTGTACTGGCACAGCACAAGGGTTCAAGCCTGTACAGGCAGCTTCCTGTGAGTGTCAAACTTTCATTCCTGCTTGGTGTACCTAGAATGCTACAACAGCACAAAGTGAATGTGCGCGCATATACATGCACACCTGTTGCTTGGGAAACCTACCCTACAGTAACCAGGTAATCCTACCTGGTGCTTGCTTGTGGTCCTTGTTCACTCCTAATGTTCATCTAGACATCACACATAGTTGGTTGCCTCCAGTAGAAGGAGGTGGTGAAGTAGGTCCCTTCCTTCTTTCCTTCCTCCAGCAATCTGCTGTTTGTCCTGTTAATCCTCTTAGGATCAGGGGACCCTTATAAGCAGAATGCAGAACTGAGGAAGGGAAGTGCTCAACTGTGCATTTTGTTCATGAATGTCCTCTCACCGTAAGATTTCTGGTCCAAATAGGCTGCTGGGGAAGTGTG